TTCACTTACTTTCCCACTACCCTGCATTCCCAAAATGCTTCAGCCAACTGCTGGAATGGCACGAGCCCTGCAACAGTTCAATTTAAATATAAATTCAGACAACAAACTGGGGGACATGGAGCCATTCAAAATCGAATTCAAAATCAGTTTGGTGACTCACATTTCCAAACAGCCAAAACCAAGAAATGGTGAGTCAATCCCTCCTTCACCATCGTACTCATTTGAGGCCCATTCTCCAAGCAGTTTTACTCCAAAGTGAACATAAAGTGGGTGACAAATTCAAGCAGTCCCTTTTATAGGGAAACGCACACAGAAACCAGGCCAGCTCTTGTTTTCAGAGCACGCAGAGCTTGGAAAATTCAGATTCTCCCAGGTACTGTGGGATAATTCGGCTCCTCCACCACAACAACTGGGCTCCTCTGCTCCTAAAAATACAACTATCAGACAAAGCTTGTTTTCTCAGGCACTTTGCTGACGCAAGTCCAAGATCAAAACATTCCTGGTTCAGAGGACAGAGATGTTTCAGTCTCCAAAATACTCAGCTAAAATCCAGCCATGCCATCCCCCCAAGGTGCCTGGGTAGAAATACACATTGATTATTAATGCTTAGTAACGTAGGTTTGGGGGAAAGAATAAAATATTCTGGTTGCCAGAAAGGGCTGAGAAGGAAGTCTGGAAATTCCCTTTCAGCGAAATAGGATGAAGTTTATTCTCTCTTGAAGCTGCTAATTCAAAGTAATATTAGAATGAAATAAGTAAGGGCAGACACTTGGATGTTAAGTGCATTCCCTGCCCCGGTCCCTTCCTTAACCAGCACTTGCATCTTCTGCTCTTAGAACTGAGATCCAGGGAGGTTCAGATCATTGAATTTCACATTATAAACTCATTAAAATACTGGTTTTACAGTTACCTCGAGCCCAGCCATTCCTCAGCAAACAATCAAACGGAGCTGTGAGATGGGAAGACAGAGCATTTCAATCCATTCCCACAACACAGGAGGGAGACACCCAAACCTGAGTTTTGGGGCTCCCTGGGCACGGCCTCGTGGCCAATTCATCCTTCCCAAAACCAGCCCTGCCCCGGGGCCACTGAAGAGCCAAGGGAAGAGTCCCAGCTCCCAGGAGAGGCTGACAACAACATTGGGGAGCACAAAATCCAACCAGAGCTCCTGGATCCTCTGGAGAGGCGCGCTGGGCTCGCCGCGTTCCCGGTGCCACACGCGCTCCCGGGGTTTGGCACCGGACACGGCCGAGATTCGTGTGAGTGGAAGGGATGAAATTTCAACAGGAGATTTCTGAGCTACGAGTTCAGTTCTCCCTCCTCCTCCTCTCCCTCCCCACCAAGTGCCAGCGATGTCTCAACACCCCGACTGCCTTTCCAAGGAAGTAGCTCTGCTCCTTTCCGGGCCAAATTACCATGGCAAGAAATCCCCACGTAGATTCATCTCCAACAGAAAAACATTCAGACAGCAAACATTTCCTCCCCACAACCTGAAAACAGCCAAATATCATCAGATTCCTTTCCTGCCATCAAAGAAACCCTGTCCAGAGACAGCTCTTAACTAAAACCATTTGCCCATAAAGCAAATGTGCTCCCAAGTAGTGACAGAAATACTCGGTGCACCCCACGAAGCTGGCCGTGTCTGAACACACTTCACCCCCAGGAAGGCTGGAGAACACAGCAAGAACTTTCATTTCTAATGATTTATTTTACTCCTGCCTTCACTACATCAGGATGCTCACCTCTTACTCAGGAAGACTCATGCAGTCTTCCTGCAGCTTTTAAGCAAAAAAAACAACCCCACGGGAACTGTTGTCAGGCCATGTCATGACCACTGAGGCTTCATAAATAACACTTGATATAAATAGATTTTGCAGCAACATATAAACCATCAGCTCCAATGGAAGTAGAAGGGTTGTGTGCAGCCATCTGCATTTTCTCCTGTAAGGATAAACACATAAAGAAGTGTTTGAAAGCAAAATAAATCTATTGAAGAAATGGCCCTCCAGAAACTTCTGGGGCTTGAGATTTCTTAGGTGGCTCACACAAAGACATTGACAGGAGCAGCTACAGCAGAACAAGATCTTCTCAGGAAGAAATATTTCCCTGTGAGGGAGGAATCTATACTGACAATGCCTGGAGTTTCACCCATTTTCCTTTCAATGGTCTCCAATCAACTTCCACACCACAACAAAGCCAAGTCACGGCCCCTCGGGACACTCCACGTGCTGAGGAAATTGGCAGATTTGGCTACACCAGGAAGAAATAAACCCCCAAACATACTGACAGAATCAAAGATAAAAAACTAGGTTTAATTTTAAAGACATTTGAAATAGGAATTGCATACAAATTCAGCAGTTTGTACATTTTTTTAGAGGTTCTTCTAAACAAATGTGGGGGAAATCCACAGTCAAAGTTTTCTGTTAGGAAAGCCTCAAACACTGTTCATTATCTCAAGCTTCCCCTGAAGAAGTCTCCAACCAAATAATATACCAACAGAGAAATGATTTCTCTTTCTCCACTGGAATTCAACTCCTTGGTAGCTGACATCTCAAGACAGAAATTCTCATATTAGCAAGGTTTAATTACACCCACAGACCAATATGGACTTAGTGAGGTACACTCAGGTCTGCCTGGGCTCAGGGAGTGCAAAGAGAACAGAAATACCCCGAGAAGATGTGGCTGCCACAGAAACACAAGGCTTTGGTGGGCTGACCCCTGACATCCCTCTTGGGGGGATGAAGGATGGCAGCTGCTTAAAATTGCTGCTGTCACCCAAGGAAACACCCACCACCCTGCAGCCCAAATCCTCCCACCGCTGCTTGAGAAGCTGCTTTTCCTTCCCATTTGTTTCCATGCTGAAAATGCTGAAGGAGCAACAGGCCTGAGCTCTGAGAACCTGATTCCCCATCCTGCTCCTTCCATCTGCTGTGCTTCCAGAGAGTTCAGCAAAGCTGAGCCTGGCTCAGGGCAGGGCTTATAACTGGGCTGGATATTAAACCATTCAAATTCAGTCTGTTAAGGCACAGCAGGAGCACAACCCACCCCTGAGAACCCCAGCACGACCTCCTCTTGTCCCCAGGGCTCTGACAAGACATTTTCAAGTGGTCTCCACATCCTGACTAAGCCAAAGGCTTGTTTAAATCCATGATAAGAATCTCAGGGCTTGTTTAACCTCCTTGCTAGCCCAAGGTTGAATTTGTTTCAGTGCATCTCCATGTTAACACTGCTCTCATTTCAAGCTATCTGGATCGTGACTGGGAGCTATGAGCAGGGGTGCAAGAGCTCATCAGCTAATCCAATTGTTCTACATATCTCAAGGATTATTTTCCAGTTTGCTAGCCAGAACTACTTGTTGCAATAATCCTCTATCTACACTGAAATCACCTGGCAGACCAAGGTGTGCAAGTCAGCCTGGCTCTGGCACTGTGCAGCCCTTCAGCTGCTCATCACTCCAGCATTTGTTCTGCTTCTCCACTTCTTTTTACAGCCTGCATCAAACTCCACCTGCCAGGAAAAACACTACCAAAACCAGCTCCTTTTTTTAAGCTTGAACTAGGTAATTTAAAGCCTGCTCAATCCTGGCAGTACTATGCTGCAGTGAGGTATTATATTATTATATATTATATGGAGATATATTTTATTAAGCTCCTTGTGAATACAGAGCATTTGGTGTTTTTATTGAAAAATAAAGCTCATCAGCAACAGGGATGATACCTAGCACTGAACTCACACCAAGAGTCAGCTGCATGTGGGAAATGACAAGGCAGAAAAAATTAACAGGCCAGATCTTTACCTTGTTTTAAAACACCTCTGGAGACTTCCCTTCTCTGCCAGAATCTTGCACCGGTTCTGTGCTGCCTTTGGGGTCAGCCCTGCCTGCACTCACCTGGCCAGGAGAGCCCCAAAACTGCCTCAAGGTCTGCTCTTCCCTGCGAACAAAATGACAACGACGGCTCCAAAATGAAGGGATGGGAATAAAACTGTAAAGCCTCATTCCCAGCTTTTATGAAAAAAAAGGCAAAAGTCACTAATAACAGGAGTATATAATAGTGGTTAGGCCTTATTCTGGGAAATCTAATAGGCTTGCAACAAGCTTTGTTCGGGCATTTTTCTGTGCTACCTACATCACTTCTTTTTACCCAAAATGTACCTTAAAACAAAAGAAAACCACACACGATATCGAACGGGGCTAGCAACTTAAAACCAGAAAACTGAAATATTTACTGCCTCGATGTGCACTGGAAAAAAAATAATAATAAGGCAAATAAATAATTTTAAAAGGGGGGGGGGGGGAAATAGCTTTAAAGCGTATCACGAGAACGGGATCAGGGAAGAGCGAGGCCACCCCTTCAGGACCAGGGAAGAATTAACCTGCATTTCTCCATCCCATCTGCAAGCTTATGGCTCTGCCACCCATTTTGTTTCAGATTAAAGGAAAAATATATCTGTATTTAAAAAAAATAAATAAAAATAATGACCTCAGCAGCACCGAGGGAAGACCCCACCCTCAGGGCTCGATGCCCGGCCGGTGTTGCTCGCCGGGCAGGTGACCCTGCCGCAGGTGCCACCCCGGGCATCCCCCCGAGCCCCTTCCCCAGCCCCTGCAGACCATGCCGAGCCAGAAAACGCCAGCGCGGAGCACAGGGAAGGGTTTATTTAACCCCCAAATGCGAAATAAAAGGGAGAGGAGGAGCGGAGAGGTGCGGACGGCGCGGGAGCCGCGCGGCCAAGGTGAACCGCGGCCGGCTAACATGGTGGAGGCTGCGGGGAGCCGCGACCCTCCGGCCCGCGGCTGTGAGGGGCGAGCCGCGGGTGTGAGGGGCCGGCATGGAGGTGACAGCGAGCGGGAGCCTGAGCGGTGAGAACCGAGGGGGGAGAAGGCTGAAGGGAGAAGGCTGAGGGGAGAAGGCTGAGGGGAGAGCGCGGCGGGGAGGCGCGGCGGGGCTGCTCCCTCAGGGCGGGCGGCGGCGGGAGCAGGACGGGGAGCACGGGCTCACCTGCCATGGCGGGCTGAGGGCGGCAATGGCGCTGGGGGCTGCGGCTCCGCTCCCCTCGGTCTCCGCGGCGAGTGCGGCGGGGCCGGGCGGCCCCGGCAGGCAGAGCATGGGGCGGGACGGGTCCCGCTCCGCCTCTAAAAGATGGCGCGGCCCCGGCTCCGCTCCCTCAGGGCCCGGCCGCCATGGCGGCCCCGGAGCTCGGTGGGGTAAGCAGCCTCGTGCTCCCTGAGGGAGAAGCCTCCGGCTGCAGGGACGTGTTAGCGGTTTGTGCACGAAAGACACAAATGGCAGAGTCACGGCATGGGGCAGGATGAAGGGATCGCAGTGGGGCATCTGGTCCAGCCAGGGCATCCCAGAGCACATGGCACAGGATTGTGTCCAGAGGGGTTTGGAATATCCTCGGTGAGGGACACTCTGCAGTCTCTCTGGGCAATGAAGCACTGAACAGGCTCCCCAGGGAATGGGCACGGCCTCAGGGATGGCAGAGCTTCAGGAGTGGCAGAACATTGCTGGCATGCCCTGTACCAGGCTGAGATCAGTGCTCAGGACGGGTCCTTTCCAAGTCAGGAAATTGTGTTAATCTGTTATTCTGGTTCTAGTGCTTGGTCACCCACACAGAAATGTTATTCCTCGTGTTCGGGTGGAACTTTGCAGGCATTAGTTTCTGCCCATTGCCTCTTGTCTCATTGCTGGGCCCCAGGGAGCAGAGCCTGCTCCATCCCTGACACCTCCCTGCAGATATTGATGGATATCAATGAGGTCCCCAAGCAGCTTTTACAATAGGAGAGTGAGTTTAGGAAGGAACAAAAGAATCACAGAATCATTTAGGTGGGAAAAGACCTCTGAAGTCAAGCCCAGCCTGTGCCAAATCACCACCATCCCAAGCAGACTGGAGCACTGAGTGCCATATCGACATTCCTTAAACGTTCCAAGGTCAGTAACTCCACCACCTCCTTGGGCAGCCCATCCCAATGTCAAATCATCCCTTCTGTGAGGAAATTCCTCCTGATGGCCAACCTAAACCTCCCCTGTTGTACCAGAGGAGGCTAAGCTGACTCCCCCAAAAGATGACGCCCCCACCACATCCACAACTCTTGTCAGAAAACACAATTTTTCTGAGATTTCCAGTTTTTCGGTGGGGGCCAGGACAAATGTGACGCAAACGTGACAAATCCACCCCCCTGCTTCCCCAGCCCGCAGAGCTGGGTGTTTTCAGGCACCGCTGACGTCTGCAGCTCCGGTACCCGGCGCTGGAAGCTGCCTCTCTCACGTCCCTCTCGGCAACATCTGACATCCCTAATGGCTTCTGACAACGTTAACTCACTCTAATTTGTGTCCTGCCCTTTCCAGAACGTGCAGTTCTCAGACACATCAGCTCGTGGCTCCTTCCCTCGCTCAGGGCTGTTCTGGGCAGCCAGGACCGAGCCCCCGCAGCTGATTCCTGCCCTTTCTCCTTGTGCCGCCTGTCCTTGAGGAGATATTGACCCATGCCGGGCTTTCTTCCCCAGCCCTGCTGTTATTTAATTAAAGTGCAGCCCCAAGTCGATGGGAAAGATCTCCCCAGACCACTGGCACTAATTGGACCCTGTTTCACCTGCAGTTCTCTGTTGATCTTTTGGCTCCTTGGCTCAAACATTACTGTTTGTGCAGCAATGTTGGCGAGGTGTTTGTTCACCAGCTGTCCTGCCCCTTCCCTCCAGCTCCCCCATCAAGAGGGTTTCATCAATCCCATTAAAACCCAGCAGCTTACTTTAAGACCAGAGACCCTGCGAGGCCTCTGGAACATTTGTGATTATCCTCAGGCATATTTTTTTTTCCACATTCACTGCGATACTCTCCTGGTTAAGCTTGTAAAAGCTTTTCCAACGAGGTATATGGAGAACGATACAGGGCAGGGCTAAGGCACAAGGTTTGATTATGGATATTGATCCTTGGCATTATTCGATAGCTGGCCTCATCCCAAGTGCAGACACAGACTTCAGTGCAGCTCTTAAATGTTAAAAGCCTTTATTTTTCAGGGTGGAGGAGCGTGGGGCCGTGGCAGGAGGGACATTTTTGTAATGCCAGATTGATGGAGGCTGCAGCAGTTTTGCTGTTGACAGGAGTTTGTGCAGGAGGACGGATCGTGTGTGCTCAGTGTCCCTGCAAGGCCTCCCTGTGTTCAGGGACACAGACACAGCTCTGTTTATTTTATTCTTTTATTTTATTTTTGAGCGTTACAATTTTCCCAGGTGAAAGGTGGCAGAGGGAAATAGAGGTAACACAGAGAGAGAAAACACATCAGTCAGATTGAAATGTAACAGATAAAGACCTCAGGGTCGTGATAATCTCAAGGACAAGCTGGGGAAGGATGATAAAGGTGGATTTAGTGCTCCAATAATTGACCTACACAGCCAGACCCCCCTGGAACCATGGGCTCAAACCCAGTAAAGCCTTTTTCAGTCCTTTTTCCTCTTAAATTGATAAATTCCCTTCCAGGTGGCCTCCCATGCTGCAAAATTTGAGAAAATTCCCTGGCATTTCCCTTGTTCAGGAAGTCAGAGCCCATTTTGTGCCATCACACTGTCCTGCTATAGAAGTAGAAACAATTTTACCGGGATTATTGGCATATATCATTTGTCACCCCAGGACAGCATTATTAAAATGTAGTGAAGAACCCCGAGGTATTTATCTAAACATTCAGTCCTTCCCTGCCTGAATGATTCACAGGTCGATAAAAAAGCTGGAAGAGCTGGAGCCATGGGATGTGCACGTCCTTCACGACAACGCAGCAGGAGAAATTAGCAGTCATCAATCATTTGGTGTGCAGACCTCTGAGACCCGAAAGGAGACACAATTCCATTTGTTTTCTCCTCTGTCTGGATTACCTGAGCTCCTCAAAGCTCACTCGACAGCTTACCTGAGCAGGTGAGGTGTTGCTGCAGCCTAGCACAAAACAGTCCAAGGAAGTTTTACTGAGGACATTCCCCAGCTGTATCTGGGTTGTTTCTTCATGGTTCTGTGTGGATCAAACACAGGAAGGACAGGACTGCAGGTCAGGGTTTTCCTCAGATGTAGCAGGGACGTTACTGGCATAAATTTCAATGCTGAAATGTTTTTGGCTGGCGTCTCTTACTCAAAATTTCCATTTTAAATCCAAGTGTTGTCTCAGCTGGGATGTGAATCGTTGATCTGAGGACAAGATGTCCAAAAAACCAAATCAAAAGTTCACATCCAGGGATGGGATCTAGTGAATGGCATCCTCACCCTTGGCAGGGGAGTGGAATGAGATGGACCTTGCAATAAACCCAAACCATCCCATGATCCTGTCATTGGTTTGGGTCTGGGATCCATAGCTCCTTTCCAATCTTGTTTTCTTGGCATGTTTTGAATTTAGTTTTTGTAACATAAAAAAAAATGAAAATTTAAAAAAAAAAAAAAAAATAGCCTGCCTTGCATTAGATTAATAACATTCTGTGTGAATTCCACAGATTCCAGAGTGGAACTCCAGCAATTAAGTCCAGCACTTAAGAAGAACCCAGCAGTCCTTTATATGGATAACAGGAATATCTGTCACTGGATTAGACAGAATCAAAATGAAACCCCTGCTATTTCAAAGGTCTAGGAGGTGAGTGGAAACTCCCCCAAATAAGCCAAAAAAAAGGTGTTTTTTTAGCTTCTCCTCTGGAATATGGAATGGTAACTGAGGGGAGGAGCTGGGTTTCGCTCTGTGAGGTGGGGAAAGCAAATGTGAGCAGCCCTTGGTTAAAATGCCACCTACACTGGTGGGAAACTCCCCAACCCACAGGAATTTATCATTATCATGGGGACACCCATGGCTTGCTGTTCCCCCCAGTGCCAGGTGGAAATTGAGTCAGAAAAAATGTGTTTCTTTCTCAGAACCGAGATGGGCTCTGCCAGCTGAGCTCAACCCCTCAGTTTGTCATCTGCAAAATGGAGGCAGGATGAATTTTTACCAGGTTTAATCAGTGCAAAGTGCTCTCTGTAGCAAAGAGAGCTTTTGGTCCGAGGATCTCGGGCCAAGTACTCAAATTACAGAAGCTCCAGCCAGCAACCCACGCTGCAGAGCCCCTGCTGTGGTCTGAGTTCACGTAATGAATACATCAATAGGTGAGCAGGAGAGGAGATCTGCAGAATTCTGCTGGTCCTCTCATGATGGTTTCCCCTCCAGCAGCTTTTGGACAGAACTTCCTTCAGTTTGGGTTTGCAAAATGTTTTGTAAGTGGGAGCCAGGAGAGTACAACCAAGCAGGACAGTAACAAACAGCTGCCTCTGCTTCTCCCTGTAGCATTGCTCAAGCCACGCTTGAGCACAGGATATTTATCCCAAGGAATACGGGACAGGGAGAGTGCTAGAGAGTGCTGCTGGTGACACTAACTCAGCTGGACAGCCTGTGCTCTGCAGGAGAAGGCAATTTTCTTGCTGCTGTTCTGTCTGGTACCTCAGGGCTGTACCAAAGAAATGAGATTTCACTTGCTGAGTCAGGAGCAAAGCCTGTGTTTGACAGGAGGAGGAGATGGGCTGAGTCACCTCTCCGAGTTCATCCCCCAGGCTGCTTCCCAAAAGCACAGCTCCTGGAATGAGCTGAGATCCCTCAAATCCTGGGAAGAGTGGGAGCAGAAGGGGGCCAGGAAAGCAGCCTGAGTTGGTCTGTTCTCCTTGTCAAAAGGCCGAGCCTCTGGAGCCACATCTGGCTCCTGGCTCGGAGGGGTTGTGGCAGCTGCAGAGGCACGGCAGGAGCCCGGGGCTGACAGCTCCTGGTGGCTTTGGGCACACTCACCCTGGAGCTCTGTTAGATCTTCTCCCCACCAGATGAACCCTGCAGGGATGGTCTCCACGGTGGAGACAAGCTGGGATTTGTCACCTTGTGCCACGTTCACGTGTGGCTGTTCGAAGCTCTGGGAATAAAGAGCAGCTGCTGTGGGCAGATGTGGATCAGCAGGACCAGAGCAGCTCATTCCCACTTCAACTAAATTCCAAAATGAGCTTGACATGGTGCACAAAATCATTTTGAAGGCTGTTAGAGGAATTTTATAGCAGAGAATAAAAGAAGTTTTCTTAAGCCACCTGCACTGGGAGTTGAAGTGAAGGTCCTTCACTCTGCACAGCAGAGGCACCAGCTCCTGCTGGCTGCTTACTCATCCCTCAGCAGAGAAGTGAGAGCAGAGACACAGCCCCTGCTTTAAACCACTTGCAAGTCATTCCCCAGGAACACCCTCAGAGAGGAAGGATGGGCTAGGGTCACTCTTACCCTGTGACTCATTTAATCCCTCGTGTGAGCACACAGCAACAGCAGGAGTGGCACGGACACACCAGGCTCCTCCAGCAAGGGGCAGAAGGCAAAATAATAAACAAGAGGTGCTCAGGTACCATGAGCAGCTGCTGAACTGCCCAAATCCAGCAGGGTGGTCACTCACTCATGGGAGAAGCAGAACTCCCGCAGGCAGAGGGAGAACTGGGCCCAAAAAGAGCCCCACAGGCAGCTCCAGCTCTGGGACTGGCTCTGGAGACACCCTGCAGTTCCTCCTTTCCCTGGCAGCTGGAGCAAGGCTCGTCACGGGAGCGCAGGGCGGGCAATTCTAGAAGCACAGATGCCACAGGGCTGGCCAGGATCTCTATTTATAACTCCCTGCCAGCACAGCTCTCCCTCCGTGCTCCTGCTCACAGGTGAGGGCACAGGCCGTGCCCTGAAAGCCCCAAAGGCCAAGTGAAAACAGAAAGAGGAAGGACTAGCAACCCCTTCTATGATGAGAGCCAAGAATCAGAGATGAAAGCACAAAAAGAAATCCACAGAAACCTGCAACAATGAACTCCGACTTCTTCCCCGAAAATTGCCCTGTAGTTGGTTAACCCTTCCCTGCCTGAAGTGCCACCTCTCTGCTGCTCTTAATTGGTGCCAAGCAGTGTCACTGAAGTGTTCTGCAAGCTCTGGCCCCTCTTCAGGGTTGGATTGTTTCCAGCAGAGGTGGGAGGAGGGCTGTGGCTCTGCCTGTCCCTCTGCAGCCCCAGCCCCGTGGCCAGGGTGGGAGGCAGCAGCCCAGGACAGCACCCCAGACCCTGCCCCAGGGATGATCCACTCCAGAGTGAGCCCTTGCCAGCTCCAAGGGTTCAGGGTGGCAGCTGACCACGGATCCAAGTCAAAGAGCTGCCTTTGTTTCATGGGGAGGATTAAACCACGAGCTGCTTGTGAGCTGAACTTTGAAGTGTCTCCTCAGTGATCTGAAACGCGGTCATGCAACAAAGAGAGACCTCTACAAATACTCTTTTTGTGTTTGAAGTTGGAGACCATCCACTGGTTTATTTTTAGGCACACATTTGCACTGGCCCTGTTACAATCCTGCCTCTGTTCTCATGCAATAAAAGGCAGAGAGGATTCACTTGACCTCCAGTATCAAATACAGAGAAAATAAGGCATTTATCTGCAAAAGAACCACCCAAAATAGCAGGGAGGAGGTCATGCTGTGATATGGACTGCTAGTGTTGAAAGCCAAGAAAAAGGAGGATTATAGGAGCTGGCAGGCTTCTTCTAATGACACATTAATGGAAACTGCTAGAAAATTATATGGTGATGCTAATTAGTATTCGTAGGTTTAAGGACCTGAGATCTTTCTGTTTTATACTAAACACATGCCTGAGAGTAAGAAGTAATCCCTGATGAGATGAGCTCTCAGTTTTCTTTGAGGATTCGTTCTAGATCCAGAGCATTTCCTCTGCCACACGTGGCTTTAGCTCAGAAACTGATGCTCCTGCATCATCAGGTTCCCTAAACTCCCCACAGCCCCTCCTCAGGCTTTACAACACCCTGAAGTAGGAAATTATCACTACATTCAGTTTCTGTCTTGTCCCTCCTTGAAGAAGATGGGGAAAGAGCCCAGAGGACCTGCCTGGATGTTTAATTTCTGTCCCATCAGCAGGGCCATCTGCACCAGGCATTTCCCACCGACAAGAGAAGGAAGGTTAAAACCTCTCATGACAGGTTAACAGCATGATTTGCAGCAACAGCTTAAATAAATGGTTGCAGGCACCAAAGAGTAGCAGGCAGCTAATCCTTTAAAGATTTAAGAGCAGCTAGTACTTCAGCCCAAGTAAATATTTCAAAACAAAATTAATTAGTGGTGACTAGTGGATTTGCTGCCCTTTGCTTTAACACCCCAGGATGGTTCCTCCACAGAATTTTTGCTTCAGTGCCAAACCTGCTGTTTCACAGGAGCTGAAAATCCTCTCAAAGGAGACTCATCAGAGTTTTGTTCCTCTCTGGAACTGCAGAGCTGGAAAAGCTCTACATGAATCTCATGGATCTCGTGTGTTGCTGTGGGAGGGGAGGTCCCTTTGTGCTGCCCCAGGAATGAGGACAAGAGCACGGCTCAGGATCCAGCCCAAGTACAGTGTGGAGGGAAGGAAATGCCGCTTCCTGATTCTTATCAGAAGAAAGCTCTGTCCGTGCAGGCCACAGAACAGAGCTCCCAGTAATTGCCTTACTTCCCATTAAAAGCAGTTTTTTAATGCCTTCCTGGACACGGGAAAGCAGGGAAGGAAAGGCCTCAGGGCGACAAGTCCTGAACCAGCACAGACCACAGTCTGCCTGAGCCCAGAGCAGCAAAGCAGTCAATTCAGCCAACTGGAAACAAAAATTGCTCATCCACAATTGAGTTTTCCCCCCATGATCCTTGGCTCCACCTCAGAACAAAGCCAACTCTCTTGAAGAATGAAGTCCTCTGGATCCATGTATTTCCAGTGGTCGCAATCTCATTTTTCTTTCCTAGAAGTGTTTCTTTTTTTCCCCTTGTGGAGAGGACTTTTTCTTTTGGCCATCCCTCACACAGCCCTGCTTATTTATCCATTCTGCTGCCTGAGGACTTTGCTTCTGTCAAAGAAAAGTAAATTCATTAATTCCTTTCCTCCAGGAGCACCAGGGTGTTCTTAGAATCACAGGGGCAGAGAACACCCTAAGCTGGAAGGAACCCACAAGGATCATCCAAGTCCAGTTTCTTATTTATCCCCCTTAGGTGACCCCTCCTTTTCAGCTTTCTGCATCTTCTCCCTCCCTCTTTGCTTTTTCCATCTAAACTTCCACTTCCTCTCCCCATTATCCAAACCCAAATAAACCCGGCTCCTTGTCCCCTAAGAGAGGCTGATTCATGTTTTGACGTCAGCAGCCGCTCTCCTGGCCACAGGCAGCTGTGACACATTCCAGCTGGTCCCCTGTCCCAGCAAACGTGCCCAGATGTGCCTCCAGAGGTGGAGAGGGAGATCCTGAATTCAACCAAATCCTTCCTCAGAGCGGGATTCACACAGAGACGAGCGAGGGAGGAGATGCAGGTTAAAAAAGAGCTTGGCTCAGGGTTTGGGTTTAATCTGGAGGAGGAAAAAAGGAGGAAAAAAGGAGGAAAAAAGGAGGAAAAAAGGAGAAAAAAGGAGGGAGGAGAAGGAAAAAAGAAGGAAAAAAGGAGGGAAAAAGGAGGGAAAAATGAGGAAAAAAGGAGGAAAAAAGGAGGGAGGAGGAGGTAAAAAGGAGGAAAAAAGGAGGTAAAAAATAGGAAAAAAGGAGGAAAAAAGGAGGAAAAAAGGAGGGAGGAGGAGGTAAAAAGGAGGAAAAAAGGAGGTAAAAAGGAGGAAAAAAGGAGGAAAAAAGGTATTCTGGGAGTGTGGTAGAATGCAAGGTGTTTGTCCAGCCCTGTGGACACTTCCATGGGCCTGCTCTGCACTGTCACTCCTGCCCCTCCTTCTGGAATGTTCGGCCCAGCTGGGGCTCAGGTGACAATCGTGGAGTGCTTTGTGCAGACTGACACTGCTGCTGCTGCCTCCCTCCCTCACCCCAGCAGCACCTGGATGGAGCAGCCAAAGCCCAGCAGAGTTTTTAGCGCTCTCTGACACCTGGGAAGGTGGGAAAGACAAACTGATGGCTTACAGAGAATATAGAACTTTATTCATGTTAAATGCACCCACTTGCATCGCTGCTCGTTCTCCAGAGACCCTGCAGCTCAGCAGAGCCTGGTTTGACCTCACACAAGTGCAGCCATCCACTCTTTTTACCCTGAATGACACATCAGCAAAGCTGGCAAAGCCATCCAGAGGGGGTTTGTTAGCACAAACTACACAGAGAACTTCTCTTCACTGGCCTGGGCAGGTGTGCACAGCAAAATATCTACACAAGGACAAAAGGACTCCTAAAGACAGACAGGAATTCAAAACCAAACCCCACATTAGGCCAGCCCAAGATTTTTTGGTATTGAGACACTTGAGTCTGGGTTCCAACCCTTCTTTCTCCCAGTATCCATTTGTTTAAATAAGCAAGCTCCAGCAGCAGTCCTTGTGAAGGATACGTGGATTGTGCCAAAAGCAACGGTGGCACGGGGAAAGCTGGCTTGGGAAGGATGTGTTTGTGAGGAAATGAGCTTGCTCAGGCTGACAGGGAGCTGTGGAGCGAGTGCACTGTGTGGAAATCACTTCCTGCAAGTGCTGCTTTCCACCTCTCACCAGACTTTATTTACTCCAGGCAGGCTCAGGACCAGCAGTTTGGAAGCAAAAGAGAGAATTTAACTATGGTCTGTCTGCAGAGGTAACCCAACAATAACCAAAATCTCATGGAAAGCTAAAATAAACTCTAGAAAACACAGAAAAAAACAAATATCTGCTGCTGAAACCAGCTCATCTAGATATTTTTGGAAAACTGCAAGGATTGCCTCGCCCAGGAAGAACTTCCCAGCGAGTGGAATTATGCAACCCCGAGAGGAATAAATACCATAAACCCCAAGTTCTTTGCAATTCCTTTTGGTCAATCCCAGGCTCGAGCTCCCACCCCCCAAACTGGAAAACCTGCAACACCTCAAGCCCAGGGAGCGGCGCCAGGGACACGCATCAGTCGCGCCCTGCCAGCATCCAGGGGAACTACCAGCTCTGGCCAGCCTAATTAGAGCGGGATTAATTAACGGCTCAGTCGTCAAAGTCGGGGATGTCGTCGTAGGAGTAGCCCCGGTAGCCCTTGGAGGCGTAGTAGGCGATTCGCAGGTGGTAAAAGCCCGGCAGGAACACGAGGATGCCGATGATCAGCACGGGGATGGCTCGGTCGGTCTCCTGCAGGGACAGACAGCCCAGGACAGTGACATCCCCTCCTGCCTCCCACACCCTGCCTGCTCCAGGGGAAGCTGCCCAAGGCTTGGAATGAGGTGATCTGTAAGGTATTTGAAGCCAAACCATCCCCAAGGCCTGGCAAGCTGAGAAATAAAAATCTATCTTCCATCAGAAATATCTCAGCTGTTGTCAGGCTGAGCCTTTGGTCCCGTCCTGGCATCTGCAGGAAGCTCTCCAGGGACCTCGTCCTTCACCAGAGACCCCCTGGACCTGCAGCCAGGGCTGGGAGCTGTGAGCATGGCCCAGAGATCTGTGCCTGGAGCGCTGCTGATAGAGCCCAGAGGCTGCTGCTGCTGCCAGAGATAAGGCAGAGCTGCCGAGCTACCCCGAGCCCCCAGCACAGGGAGCAGGGAAGGAACACCCAGAACTGCAGGAGCCGATTCCCCTTCCCATGGATCACAACCACAGGGAGCAGGGAAGGAACACCCAGAACTGCAGGAGCAGATTCCCCTTCCCATGGATCACAACCACAAGCAGAGGGGGAAGCGCTGCCGTGTCCCACGCGGGGTCTGGCAGCTCCTCCCTGTCCCTGCACGGGCTGAGATCTCTCCAGGACAGGGATGTGACCTCCCCAGGGACACTCAGCCCTCCCTGGAGTTGCCCAGCCCAGCTCTGAGCCTGCTCCAGCCAGGCTGAGTGCGGGATCCCAAGGAAAGGGGGCTGCCAGCACCGCCAGGCCCTGGTGGGAATCAATTCCCTGCTCCCTTCCTGTGGCTCTGAGGTTCTGAACACGATCACAGGATCCTTGAGGCTGGAAAACACCTTCAAGGCCATCAAGCCCAACCACGACCCAGCAGCACCCCCAGGGTCACCTCCAACCCTCGTGTTCTGAGCACTCGCAGCAGTGGGGACTCCACCCTGCAGCTGTGCCAGGCCTTTCCCACCCTTTCCACCACAAACCTTTCCTCATTTTGAATTAAAACCTCCCCTGGTGCAACCTGAGGCTGTTTCCTGTGCCCCAGTGAGGCCTCAGGGCAGCTCTGAGGACAGTGCAGGACCAGTGCCACTCACCCCTTTGCTGATGTACCCTGCCAGCAGCAGGGCTCCGATGATGATGAGGAAGGTCCCGATCATGAAGAGCACCACAGCCAGGGCAATGGCCTTGTAGGGGATTTTGGGTGGGCTCTTCTTGAACTGGATGGAAAAACCCCAATGAAGAGCTGAACTCAGCACAGCTCCCCTCCCTCTGCAGCACAGATGTGACCCCCCCCAGCTGGCACAGGTGACACAGAGCTGAGGAATTCTGCCCATGGAAACCCTGCTGAGCCAGACTTTACTCCCAGTCTTGTTCTCAGGAAGGCTCTTTGGGCTTCCCAGAGGGGAAGAGCTGAGGGTTTGGCTCCCACCCAGCTTTGTCCCTCTCTGAATTGCAGCTGCTCCACGAGAAGCAGCTGCCTGTGCAAGGCCAAGCTGTGGCTGCCCATCCTTGTGCTTTTCCAGCTTTTTACCTGCAGATCAATGTATCCATCATCGGTGCTGGAGAGCTTGGAATATTTGACTTTGCTACTGGGAATCCCAGCAGAGAGATTGGTCCTCGATGGCATCATTCCAGGGGGGCCCGGGCATCAGCTACAGCCTGGAAACGGAGAGAAAACGGCGTGGTGGGAGCCTGAGAGACACAGAACCAAAGGTTCTGGAGAGAAACTCCCGTGCCAAGGCTGTGCCACCCAAAGGGCATCTCTGTTCCTCTTCAGAAATTAAAACTTCTCCAACAGAGGATCTAAGCATTTCATTTGAAGCCTAAAATATAAAATGGGTACAGCTGCAACAGTGTTTGGAATCAAGGCAGAAGCTCCAAAGGAGATGGAAATTCCAGGGCAGGGCCCAGGTGTGACCCAGGACTCCTCCTGGAGCTCCTGCTGCCAAGCTCTGGCTGTTTCTGAACCAGCAAATAAACCCAAAGCAGAGCTAAACAAAGCAGCTTTTCAACCACCAGGAGGTTTTGTAGGAGAGCAATTTTGGATAAAGGAAAACCAAACCAAACCAAACAAAAAAAACCAACCCAAACCACTGGAAACTGGAATGAAACGGAGGTGTCAGGGAGACAGCAAGAGTGACTCGGAGTGGGACAAGGGGACAGCTGGGGGACAAGCGAGGACAGAGGGGACAGCGGGGGGACAGCCGGGGAACAACCGGGGACAAGCGGGGACAGAGGGGAACAACCGGGGACAGAGGGGGACAAGGGGACAGCGGGGGAACAACCGGGAACAAGCGGGGACAG